AGCTGAGCACGTTGGCCCCGAGGCTTTTCACAATTTATCTGAAGTTTGTGGGAAGTGGCTTCGTGTGGATTCGTTGTCGTTCACCAATTTCCGTGGTCTTCGGCATCTTTCAGAGGCTAGAGCCGACCCGCAGTCTTCTGGTCAGGTGTTTGCTTCTCTCACTGCTGATGTACAGTCTGGCTTTAGTGAGGCAAAAGCTCAGGCGGCCGTGACTGTCGAAGATAAAGACCCCAGTGTGCTATGGATTATGGCTCCACTCTGTTTGTTGATACGTTGGTTGTACTTGATCGGTCGCGTACCCCATCGGTGGCGTATTAGTACCGCACCCGTCGATTCTGTTGTTCAATGGTATCGCACCCTCCTAGACTTCACGATCCCCAAACCCTTGTTCAAGAATCGCTCGGCGCTCAGTGTTCGAAACGTCCCATATGCGTACCCGACAGTCAAGGCCAAGTGCTGGAGCAAGGGCGGCCAGCACACATGCACGGACAAGTCCCACTCCTGCTTTCGCAACATTTGCAGTTTTTATCGCATGCCAGGCCGGCGAATTTATCGCAGAGTTGGCCGTTGCATTCAGTATCTGCTGGCGTTTGTGACGCCAGGCTGGTCTGTTCGTGACATGAAGCAGGCGCTGCCGATCCTTCAGGAAAGAGTAAAAGCACTTCGTCCCCCTCAGAGGCCACGTGGGAGCTCAAGGTTCTGCTGTCTTGGGTGTGGGGCCCTTCTGGATCACCCAGCCCTGGTGGTAGCTGATGCGGGACAGGCCTATGAGGACCTTTCGACAGAGGCTATATCAGAAGCGGTAGATGCATTTTTTGCCGACTTGCCCAAAATAACAAAATGCCATACTGTGACGGCCACGGATAACAAACAAGGTTTCAGCACTTCTTGGGGAGGCAACTTCCGTGAGCCACATAGTGACCGCACTGTGTTTTCGTTTCGGTCCTTAAGACGTGCTGTTCTGGGATTTCTTGGCATGAAGTTTTATCGTCTTGGGTGTCTCTGGCTGGAACAACTCCGCGGGATCCCTATTGGTGGGCCATTAGCTGGGGTTATCTTGGAGCTGGTCTTGAGCCGCTATGAGAACACGTTCGACCACGCCTTTAAGTCACGCCGTAAGGATGTCGCCCCAGGACGGTATGTTGATGATCTCTGCCTGATGTCGCGTACGTGGTGTCGCAAATGTGTGTGCGCGTGCCTGTAAGCTGTATATCGTGACGTTGCATGCTTTAAAGTGGACGATAAACAGCTTATACTTAGCCATACAGTGATTCAGAAGTTCTTGGACGTCGAGATCCACCTCGGGTTTAGTACTTACTCTGTCTGTCCGTTGCATAAGAATGAACGCTACGCGTGGACTGGCCGTGATACAGATTTGGTAAAGCATTCTTTGCCCCCCTGCACTGGTTCTGGGAATCGGGCTACCCAAAAACAACATCGGGCTGAGCTTCGTGGTAGACTATCTAGGTGGCGCTCGCTCCATATCCCAAAGGCTCTGCTGGCATATCTGATGTGTGCTGACATTATGGTTTATCTACGTCTTGGGTACCCGTTTTGGTTTATATATCGATTGTGGATTCCGCTCTTCGTTGGAACCGAAGGCCATGACCTTATAAGCCTATGCTTATCCCTGGTGTACCACTCCTGCCCTAAGTTGACACGTGCCGTACTCCAACCCCTTGTGCTTCACCGTAACCACTGTGCTCGTGCTCAAGAGGCTCTTTTACGTGCTATCTCTGTGCACCAGTCTCTGTGCACCGACTCCCAGGCTCCGCGTCGATCGTCAGCCATGGGTGGCCAGGGCCACTACGGCGGCGGCAAGGGCCAGGGGAGCTACGGCAAGGGTTACGGCCAGGGGAACTATGGCAACTCTCGGGGAAAAGGACGTGGCCAATGGCAGCCACGACAGGACGGGTTCGGCGCGATGGCCACCCAGTTCAACGACATGATGGGATCCTTGGCGGCGCTGGGACAGATGGCGAAAATCGGCTCCGCTCTTACGCAGGCACAGGGCTCTGGCACGGCATCTTCCCCGCAGAAAGAGTCGAACACCCAGGGCATGCAGCTTGGCAGTGAGGACCTCGCCGAAGCTCTGACTGGCGTTATCGCGCGCGCTGAGGGCAAGGGCGACGCGAGGTTGCAGAACACGGTGCGGAAGCTGAGCGAGTTCTTGAACAGCCCCGCCAGCCAGTCCAACCAGCCGCCCCCACAGCCGGCGACGATCAGCCAGGGCCCGCTCGGACCTGGGGTCCTTCCGCGTGGGGCTGCCGAGGACTACGCGGCCGCCCAGGCCTCGGCAGTGGAGGAGTCTCCAGCTTTCAAAAAACTTCGAGCCGACGTCGACCTTCTCGCCACGGAAGAGAAGCAGCATAAGACCGCCATTGCCAAGATCGAGAACACCACCCAGGAGACCAGCACCGACATGAAAAAGCTCCTTGGCTTGTTCAACGCTCGCTTTGCGCACGGTGGCCATCCTGCTGGCCCCGCACCTGGCGGCGAC